GAAAGCGCGACGAATTTCGTGTCCGACCCCAGAGAGAAAAAAGAGTTGCGCGTGTGAGTCTTGCTGTGAACAAACGTGTTTTCTTGTGAAGCGTTCTCATGCATGGCAATCACAGAGAAAAATAAATTTCATGTATTTTCAAATTGTACCGATTTTGCTTGTGCCACACAACTTTGTGCAGGTCCTGCATGGGCAAACTCACTGTTCGAAGACAATGCAGAGTTTGGTTTTGGAATGCGCAAGGCACTTTGCCCCTTAGAATTCAGAGCATTCCACATCACTTTTGCTCCTGGACTGTCCAAAAGACAGGGTTTATTTTTATACAAGTGTGTCGAGATTGTGCTCCCATTGCTCGTTGTTTTGTGATGTTTGTTTCAGGCATTCAAGCAACGCCGTGACTATTTGGCAAATCAAGTGGAGGTGCCAGAAAGACCATGCGACACATGCCTTGGTTTGAAAGAGTGTAAGAGTAGCTACTGTAGATTGGTGCTGTATAACCGTGGTTTGCTTTACAATCAATAGATAATAACTAGATATGTTTCCCTAAAAATCTACGAACCAAATCATTGGTGCGAGCGCTTCTTCAAGGAAGCTGCCCCCCGCCCTCAGGCGGGGGAAGCTTCCTTGAAGAAGCAAAAGACTATCCTACGTCCATGTGTAGTAGCGGAGCCTGTTTGTATAGTTCCCTAATTAAGTTGGCGCTTACTTCATTACGTAAGGAGGGAGGGCCACGGGCCAAAAAAAAAAAGAAATGACTGACCGTGTCCACACCGTTGGAACATTTTGATTGGGCAGGACGCTTTGGCAGACAAGACAGTGGTGATGAGCGAGGAGCTTCGTGCGGCTCTGAACCAGTTCCTGGTGATGCGCAAGGCACACGGAGAGAAGTGAAAAGATTCAACTCGTATTGTTTCACAGCTCTTTCATTTGCTAGCCTGTAGCCACTGCACAGACTATCCTGCTGTAAGTCAGCGGCTGAAATTCCTTTCGGTTTGCTGGACGTATACAGAATTCACAATAATTGTCTCGCATCAACATGTGTTGAAATAAATATGCACGCAATTGTCGAGATGTACTGTGCAAGCATCGCAGCTTTGTTCTTTTGGACAGATCTCCGTCAGGAGAACATGCATGATTTGCTCTTGCCTCGTGGCCGAAGTATCTACCATCAAATCATGGAGAAGTTGGTGCCTTTGCTTGAGAAGGCACAGTGGGGAACAATGCCTTCAGGTACACCTGCGGGTGGTGTCCCATGATTTGCTGGAGAAGTCGATTAGAAGATTCGGTATTAGACACTTGAGACAGGAGAAAGATTCGCATGCAAAGATCAAAAATCTCTACGAGCTGCCACTTGGCGATAGGAGCAAGTGGCGAAGCATTTTGCAGTCTGCAGGTTTGTTTTGTCTGATTTTGCGCCTTTCCACCAGGGAAGATATGTTTGGTCGAAGCAGCTTCTGGATGGTTGGTGGCGATGGCTGGGCTTATGACATCGGCTACGGAGGTCTTGACCACGTCATTGCCAGCGAGGCATCTCGTGCTGTTCGTATTTAGTTCTGTGCTCCGTGCTCCAAAGACATTTGATGTTGTCACTCTTGGCTTTTTGAACCAGGAACACGTCAACATCCTTGTGCTTGACACAGATTCACGGCTTATACTACCTTTGTTGCCAATCCCTTTGACAAGCAATTCCATGATTCATGTTTCGGCACGCTTGGCTGACAACTGTTGAAGTTTACTCAATCACTGCCTTCCATGCCACTGGCCCAAACTCCTTCATTTGGTCCTAAGGAGATGTACAGCAATACAGGTGGCCAGGCATCGAAGGCAACACCCAAAGGTGCAATGGCAAAGTTTGCAGAAGGGGGCAAGGCCACCATGAAGAAGGACTGGGAGTGAGCTTCAGTTGTTTCAGTCTTTGTTGTACTGGTAGTTTTTTCAGATTGCCACTCCCTGCTCGAAGGATCTAGGACAGCTTGCCATGACTTACAAGAACGCATCTTGGCGATGCTTGAGCAGAGATAGGTTCCACGTTTGCCAGCCCTTTTGTGTATACAATCATTGCGTTTTACTAGATATCGATACAGTGTGCAGTCCCTGGGTGAGGTGTATGTGGCCAGCATCTGCGTGCATGTGAACCCACAGCAGGCTGTACGTGCCCTCATTGAGGCAGATGCTTATGCAGGACTGTCCAGAAAGAGCATTCAGATGCACCAGATTTTTGTGACGTTTTTGGAACGGTGTATGTTGACTTGACTCAAACGGAATTCGCAGCTCTGCTTTCGCCAGGACCCAGCATTATCCTGGCTTATGCCCCTTGCATCAGCCAGGGCTTCCCCATGGCTGAGTCGATCCAGCACTGTCAGATGGCAGTTGACAGTGGCTGCTTGCTGCAAACTACAATCCGTTTGATGAAGCGAATCAGTTTCAGCTTACAGTTTCCTTCTCCCGGATGATGGGGATGGCATTGCTCAGGCTACTGGCCCTTGTACCGCTACAATCCCGATGCAGCTGCTCATGGAAACAATCCTTTCCAACTAGATAGCAAGAAGATCAAGGGCGATCTCTTCAAGTTCTTGGCGAAGGACCTTAGCTTGGCATAGAAGTTCCGAGCTTGATGGAAGCATGCAGCTGGAATTCTAGACAGTGACCCTGGTTGTTGGTGTCATTATTGATGGATGTTGCCAGCGGGCTTTTCATTTGATATTTAATGGTGAGGAGAATCGCTTTGCAGCAGTCATGCGCCGCGATCCCAAGCATGCCCAGGAGAAAGAATTGTGTCTTGCCTTCCGAAGCCAGTTCTAAAGGATCATTTATCACTGGAACACAGGGACCATCAATTACACAAGTCAAAGCAAAGCAGGGAAACTGCTGTTTTCTACCATGGCTTCTTCTTTGTTGTTGTTCTTGTTGCTTTTGGTTCATATAGTGCTGTTTGCACAGGAGCTGGACGACCGGTTGCAAGAGGCTGTCGTCCAGAAGAACCACTTGTTGCAGGCCTGAAAACAGAATCCACTAGTAGCGAACCTTGCTCCTAGTAGCGACGCCAGGAGCCCCTGGTAGCGTCCTTGCTCCTAGTAGTGGTGGCGGCAAGTTTGGAATTTGTTGTCCACAGATTCTCGATTTGCTTCTTTAGAACAGGAGAAATGAGAGTCAACGATATTTATATAGATACACAATTTAAGTCCATTTACAATGAGAAAGACTCAATACAATGAGCCGATGTTGGCCGTTCGGCTTTCAGGTGTTGAACAAGGAGGACCTGGAAGGTCAGTTCAGCAAGCTGGTGGAGGGACTTTCTGATGCCGCCTCGACCTCCGACATGGTCGCTGGTCTGCAAAAATACTTGCACTTTGTCACATTTCTGAAGGATAACAAAAAGCGTTTCTTCTTTAGGATAAAGTGTTTCTAAAGCCATTTGACTTCAAAATGCGAAACAAGATTGTGACCAGTCTCGTCAACCATGCAGATCTTCAGCGCAGGTCACGATTCTCTACGGCAGTGAGACTGGAAATGCAGAAGAACAGGCAAAGAATTTGATGCAGGACAAATTTGAATGCTCATTTGTAGCATGATTGGATACAGTTGACACTGATTGAGGTTTTAAGCGGCTTGCGACATGTTGAGTCCTTGCCGGGCTTGACTGATTCTTGGCGTTTTCTCCCAAGGACATCCGTGCTCGCGGGCTGAAGGCTCAAGTCTCCTCGCTGGATGACTTTGAGTTTGAGGAGCTGCCAAACCAGAAGCTTGCAACTTGGATAGCTTGGAGATGAGTAAGGACGCCACTCGGGGCTCCTGGCCTTACTACTGCTAGGGGCTCCTGGCATCGCTACTAGGAGCAAGGACGTGGATTTGTTGCACATGCATGTGACTGTGCAATGCAGAGCGCAGTGTGAAATCCAGAATCCTCAGCTCGACTTTGGTTCAGCCATTTCAACTTTGTCATGCTACGAACAATGCACAGATGTACTCATACACAACATATCAAAGATATGTGTATGCTACCGCAGACCGCTTTGTCAGTCAAAGGAGCTTTCCGCATGGTAGCGGAGCCCGGGATGGTGATTGCTTGACTCTCACCGGAGGCTCCGAAGCTCCTCACGATCCGGACGGGACCCAAATCCGGACGGGCGGTTCCAAGCCATCTCGGCAATCCTTGCTAGAGGCTACTTGAAGGCCAAGAGCACTCGTGCCCACATCCTGGACATCTAGAAGATCCTTGAAGAGGAAGATGGGGACTCATGGAGAGGCTTTGGGCTCGCCTGGACTGTCACCTGCAGGTTCACCCGTGGCAGGACAGGTGGATGGTCAAGAATTGGCCATGAGGATGATTCAGGCAGCTGAATCGGCTAGCCTCGCTGCCCGCCTGGCAGCAGAGGCAATTCAGAAGAAGGGAGGCCATGAGGACAAAGCCTGGTTTCGAGTACTCCCAAAGCCAGGCAACTTCGAGCCGAAATCCCGTGAGGATGAGTTGGCTATGTGGAGAGACTTCAGTTGGGGGCTGGAGCAATATTTGGCTTCGTTGGATGCCAGCTTCACGGATGACTTCAAAGAGATTCGGGAGAATCCAGATCGCCCCATTGACCCTTCGATTCAATCTGATGAAGAACGTCAACGAGGGTCATTTCTCTATGCATTGCTGGCCTCACTTGTTCGACAGCGCCCCTTGTCCCTCATCAAGCAGGTGAAAGAAGCCAATGGCCTAGAGGCCTATAGAATGCTGGTGCAATCGCTCGAACCAGCGAGCAAGAACCGCTCGTTGGGATTGTTGACAATGATCCTGGAGTGGAGCCAGTTCGACATGAAGAAAGGTGGCGTCTTGGCTCAACTACTGCGGTTGGAAGAAGCCTTCATCGAGTATGAGCGCACCGGCAGTCGGCTTGAGGACAGCTTGAAGTTCGCCATTTTGATGAAATGTGTGAGCGGTCAATTGAAGACCTGGCTTCAACTCAACGTGGCCGAGACACAGGATTACAGCCGGCTTCGTGAAGCCATTATTCAATATGATAATGCCACTTTGAGGTGGAGCTCGACAATGATGCTTGGTCAGGATTCCGGAGGACTAGCACCGATGGAGGTCGACCGCATTGGACAGAAGGGCGACAAAGGGAAGAACAAGGGCAAAGGCAAGGAGGCCTACAGCAACAGCAAGGGCAAAGGCAAGGGAGATGGCAAGAATTCGAAAGGAAAAGGCAAGAGCCAGCAGAAAGGTCAAGATTATGGTCAGGGCAAAGGTCAACAAAAGGGCAATGCCAAGGGTGATGGAAGCAAAGGTCAGAAAGGAAAGACAGATAGCGGGCCTGTCAAGACCTGCTACACATGTGGCAAGCCCGGACATCTTGCCCGTGACTGCTGGCGAGTGAGACAAGTTGCAGATGGTTCGCCCCACCAGCAACAGCAGCAGAGCCAGGGTGATGCATCATCAACTTGGACCTCAAGTACAAGCCAGGCCACAACGGCCAAGACAGCTGCTGTGAAGAGAATCGTGGAGGTGGACTTGGTTTCACAGGAATTTGAAGATCCCATTATCTTTGATCTGCGAGGCAAAGTGCATGGTGGCCAGGTGAGGGTGATTCAGTTCTACCACCTGGACAGCGAGGATTTCGATAAGGAGGTGAGTCAGGACCTGAACATCATGATGGTGAGCGAGGGCAAGAGGGTGCAGAGTGACCATGGACCTTGCTCGATCATCGTGGACTCGGGTGCCGATGCAACAGTGCTGCCAACATCATTTCTGGCAGCTGGAGTTGAAATTGAGGAGGAAGGGCCTGTGCTTCAGGACGCCCAAGGTGAGAAGATCGCCATCGAAGGTTACAAGAGCGTCTGCTTTGTCTTCGAGGCGGAGAATGGGAAGGAGATACAGGTCTTCGAGAAGGCTCATTTCTCGAGCGGCATCACTCAGCCAATCCTCTCATTTGGGAGGTTGATGGAGAGTGGATGGGGAATTTCAGACCATTCACTAGTGTATGGCGTGGGGGAGAAGGAGATCAGAATTCCCCTACGATTGCAGAACAAGAGTTTGGTGGCCGAAGGAAGTGTTCGAGCCATTTCGGCAGAGCCCCAGACAATTCGTGTGCTCGAGGCCAAGTTGAAGCAGGACCTCGAGGAGAAGATCAAGTACCAGGTGGGATGGAGGAAGGCCGAAGACAGGTGGATTGGAGTCCATCTGGGAAAGACCTTTCAGAGTCCACAGTATGTGGGAGACATCCCATCGACGACGAGCTGGAAGCGAACAACTCTGGCAAAGGTGGCTGGGAATTGGCAGCTTCTCGAGATGTGCGAGGATTTGCATCGAATTCTCGACCAAGAGGAGATGATTGAGGGGGCTGTTGAGAATGTGCTCGTTGTTACCATCCTCACTGAGGAGGCTATGAGTGTTGAAGAGATGGGCTTTGAAGTGGAGACCGGGTTGGATCTGGAAGAGCAGCCAATTCGAGTTCGAGATCATGAAGTGGCTATGGAGGAAGCTGTTGAGCTTCCTGTTGATGAACCACAGGAGGAAAGAGTGGAGATTGAGGAAGAGGCGGTGGTCCAAGAAGCACAGTTGGCTCTAGGGCCTGGAATGCCAGACCATATCCTGGTGAATGGGATACAGTTGACATCAGTGAGCCCACTGCGACAGCTTCGAGCGGCTTGCAACTTCTTTGGTGTGAGCCAGTCAGGCAGCCGCTTGAAGTGCTACCAGAGGTTGGTCAGCTATATGAAAGAAATGGAGCTCAAGGCGGCGGCCGAGGCAGTTGCAGCAGCACAACTACAGGTGGCTCGTCAACCACGAGAGCAGTTGGGCATCAAAGTTCCCTCGCAGGAGGAGCAGGATCGACGTTGTTTGACCCATGTGCCCTACCAGCCTTGGTGCGCATCATGCTTGAAGCACCGAGGGCGGCCTGATAGACATCTCAGAACTGGTGCTTCGAGGTTGAGTGGAATCCCCATTATCTCACTGGACCTATGCTACACGAAAGCCGGAGAGATTGACAGGCATCCACAACCTCGAGACCAAGGGCAACAGGAGGAAGAGATAGCGATTGACCTCTACGAGGAGGATGAGAGAAAGGAGGCTGAGGAACTTCGTATCAAGGAGCTCAAGCCCGCGTTGTGGCTGATCATGGTGGATAGCCAAACTGGAGCTTTGGGGTCAGTCCCGTTGAAGTCAAAGGGACAATTGAGTTTGATGGCCAGGGAGATCATGACCTTCATTCAGAGCCTGGGGCATGTTGAGGTTGGCTTGTATGCCGACAATGAGCCGACCATGAGATCCCTATTACGCATAGTGCTGAATAGTCGACATGCAATGGGACTACGAACCAGGCTCTACACCACCAAGGTTCGTGACTCGGCAGGAAACAGCCTGGCAGAAAATGCCATTCAGCGTGTGAGAGGGCTGACATGTACATTGATGGCAGATGTTGCCGAAAGAACTGGCCTAGCGTACAATACCAACCATACCCTATGGAGCTGGGCCTCAAGACATGCATGCTGGTTGTTGAACCGTTACCAAGCTACAAGAGGTATCACCAGCTATGAGTTGGCCCATGGAAGAACATATGACGGAGCCATTGTTCCCTTTGGATGTCCGGTGTATGCTTATGTTCGCCCTCGGAGCGGCAAAGGCAATCCGAGATGGAGGATGGCAATCTTCCTGGGCAAGACCGATGGACAGGATGCCTGGATTGTTGGTGATGGCAGCCAGATCATGCTGACCAGATCAATCAGACGGGTGAACAGGCCTTGGACAGGATTCCTCAGCTATTACCAGAACTTTGAGACGGCCAGCTGGGAATACCAAACCAATTTTGGTGGACGCATTATCCCGACGAAGAGAGCCGTCACAGGAATTCCATTGAGGACTGGAAATATGCCCGCTCTGGAGTCAGTGTTTTTCAAATACAAGGATGAGGATGCTGAAGAGGTGAAGAGGTATGCTCAATCCAAGGAAGGTGTTGCTGAACACGAGAGGGAGATTGATGAGGTCCGGCAAGAGAGAGAGATGCAAGATGCTGTTGAAGGTCTTCCAGCACCAAGTGCCCCGCGACATGATGAGCCCAATACTGGAATGGTGACACCCCCAGCTCCTGTTGAGCAGTCTGAGGGTAGGGGCCCAGGAGGAGATACCCCCATGGTGATTCCACCACTCCCATGGGAGGAAAGTGAGCAAGTGCCTCCTGAAGGGAGAGTTTTGCGAAAGCTCCCACCACCTTCATCGGCAGTGAAGATCGAGCCGGACAGCAAGAGGTTGAGGATAGATGAACCTGAACGAGAGAGCCATTCCACATCTGCCTCCCGATCAGCTATGATTGAAAGACGTGTTGAACATGTCCAAATTGCTGGAGAGGACATGTATCATTTGGATGAGGTAGTAGATGTGGAGACTCTCATGATCGATGAGGACCAGGAGGATGTTGAGGACCTCAAGCATGGGGTGGTTCCTGAAGAACTGTGGTCTGATCATCCATTGACTAATACACCACCTCAACCTGCAGAAGAAGTAGACGCCTGTGCACGAGGAGTGGAGGAAAGGAGATTGATGAGAATGGATGTCATCGAGAAGCTGACGCCCCACGAGGCAGACCTTGATGTGCTCACCACCAGGTTCGTCTATGACTGGCGCATCAAAACTTACGTTGAGCAGAGTGGTATTCAGCGCAAGAGGTGGTTGAGAAGAGCACGATTGGTAGCCAGAGATTATGCGCATGATAAAAGAGATGATGTGTACAGCCCTGCAAGTGGACAATATGCTCTACGCCTTTTGCCGGCGCTTCTTTTCTTGAGTGCCGCCAGCATGGAGAAGGACTTTGAGCGCCGCAAGGGAAAGCCCGTGATCGGGGCTCTAGATGTCAAGGATGCCTTCCTACAAGTCCCTCAGGAGAAACCATTGCGCATCACTACGGCAGTTGGAGAGTACAAGGTACTACGCAATTTGCCGGGTCAGAGAATTGGGGCGAAGGCATGGTATGAACATTTGAGGAGCTACTTGATCGAGGAACAGGGCTTCAGTTTTGACATCATCAACCCGTGCCTTGGAAAGCGAGGAGTTGGAGAAGATTTGGCGTGTGTACTGATCCATGTGGACGACATTATGTTCACGGGGAAGGAGGAGCCTGTAAACAATTTCATCCAGAGCATGAAGAAGAAGTTTGACATTGAAGTCAATGTGATGAAGAACTATGGCGATGAGTTCTCCTTCCTGAAGAGGAAATATGTCTACACACCCGAAGGCTTGTCAGTGAAGCCGGGGAGCTATGCCACAAATATGGTAAAGACCTTCGAGGATCACTTTGGACCAGTCAAGCGTCAGCGACTGCCGGCAACAGCAGATATTCAGGACTATGATGGCTCCAGCACGATCCCACAGCAAGATGCAGCTATATACAGATCTGTTGTTGGCATGGGTATATATTTGGCCCAGGAGAGGTGTGACATTGCGTTTTGCATCAAAGAGTTGGCCTCAAAGATGTCAAGCCCCACAGAAATATCAATCCAGAAGATGAGGAAGTTTCTGGGCTACTTGAAGGACACTGAGGATCAATCGATGATGCTGCCTCTACCACAACGTGGAGAAGGAATGAATATGCATAGCAACTACACCTGGCTCCTGGAGACATACACCGACGCAGACTGGAGCGGCAATAAGGTGACCAGAAGAAGCACTTCATCAGCAGTTCACACCATCAATGGCATTGTGGTGCACTGTTCGTCAAGGGGACAGAAGGAAGTCAGTCTGTCATCTGCAGAGAGCGAACTCCATGCGTTGGTTTCTGGAGCATGCGATGGCATATGCCTGAAGCATAGTCTGCAGTTCTTGACAGGAGATGATGTGCATCATATTTGCTGGGTGGACAATTCAGCTACAAGGCAAATTGCATGCAAGCGAGGCGCAGGCAAGTTGCGCCACGTTAGTGGCAAACTGTTGTGGCGCCAGAGCAAAGTGGCATCGGGAGACCTTGAGGTGCGACAAGTTGGGACAGCTCGCAACCTGGCTGACATCGGGACGAAACCTCTTTCCCAACATAGGCTGAGACTCCTACTCTATTGGTTGCAGGCCCGAGATGGAGATGGAGGTCGAGTAGGCCAACGGGAGTTTGAGCAGTTCAGCGAGCAACACATTGAGAAGGGCAAGGTGATGAAAATCGCAAAATATTTGAACAGGCTGGTCTTCGTTAGCGGTCTTGAGTGGGCTACTGGCGCAAGGGTGGAACCAGACCTGTCAGAGGGAGGAAGCTCCTACTATCTCGAGAAGTTCATCTACCTGATCATGATCTTGGCGGCGATCTTCCTGGTGTGGTGGTTGAGGAGGAAGTTCAGAGAGCTCGAGCAGAGGATCGTGATCTTGGAGAGTGAGATTGAGGTGCGCAAGTATAGCACGAGGAGCTCTTTGGACGAGCAAGAAAAAGTATGGTCAATGCAGATGGACTACACCCAGCGGATCCACCGAGCTCTGATTTACAGAGGAGGCTTTGTGGAGGACCACTCTATCCGTGATGGCTTGGAGTGGGAGACCCTGCACTACATCGAGAAGGTGAATCGTCGACATGAAGGATTGCACCTTAAAGTGCAGTGGGATGTGGTCAACCAAAGGAGAAGAGAGCAAGGAGAGTCAAGGATTCCCAACAGATTCTCACCAGATGATCCTGGACCGCCAAGAGATGATGGAGGTGATGGACCAGATGAGGACAGTCGAATGCTGAGTGGTGACACAGCCACAATTCGACTTGACAATGGAGAGGTGGTCGAGGTGCCAATTGAGTACGTGGAGATTGCTCAAGAAGTGGCACAAACAGGAAGTCTACCACCTGAGCCGGAACCTAGCCCAGGTGATGATGGAGATGATGGAGATGAGGACATGGAGAGCACGACTACTCCTGAAGTCCCGCAAGGACCTCCTGATGAGTGGCAGCCTGAGCCGATCGAAATCCCTGAACAAAAGTTCAACTTTTTCAATAGGCCCTACAACAGGGCGGACTTGAAGGCCAGACAGGAATTGGCCAAGGTAGAAGCTACCTGGTATCACGCCACGAGAGCGAATGATGTAGCTTTGGCCAACGACATGTACCGGGTGATGGAAGAATGTTTTTCTTTCATGGATCCTCGCCCGGATGATGAGGCCTTTCAGTGAAGAATCATGCATAGAGTACCAAAACTCAAAGCATGAAGGAGGAGTACGAACAATGCACAGATGTACTCATACACAACATATCAAAGATATGTGTATGCTACCGCAGACCGCTTTGTCAGTCAAAGGAGCTTTCCGCACATGCACTTTGTATCTTCCAGCCCGGTCAGGTGATTCTGGTGGTCTCGACTTGTGGTTTGGGCGAGTTTCCTGCAAACTGCAAGCAGACGTGGATGAAGCTTCAGTCCCAGGAGTAAAACTGTAGTAATTGGAGTCGAATCCGAAATACTCCCATCACGTCCAAATGATTTGGTTTAATAGGTACAGCATGGTACCCACAAAATGTCTCTTTAGCTGTCAGGAGTTGCCTATGAGCTGGCTTTCCGGCACCAAGTTCGCTGTCTTCGGCCTGGGTGATTCAACATATAGCAGCTTGGAAGTTGGTAATTTTCAAGTTAAGAAGAATCAAGACGCACCCCCTGAAGTGTGATTTCCTAGAATCTGAATCATGAGTTCGTCTCAGCTCTTGACTAACATGTGCTTCATCACACTATAATGTGTACATACAAATGGCAAGCAAGTCTTCAGAGTGCTGGTTGTTGCGAATGCCCTCATCCACCTGAGTTCGGCTTGAGGCCAGTTCTGCGTCGCGGCCATTCAGTTTGACACTCGCTTGGGTGAGTTGGGTGGTCAGCGCCTCTTGAAGCGTGGTGTGGGCGACGACCGCGACGAGGCACGGTGACGCGACTATGGTGTTGATCACGAGAATTGTGAGATGTAACTGACATGAAAACTTTTTTGAGAGAATGGAAGAGTTCTCTTAACTGGTGGTGTGTAGTATTTGATATGTTTCGACATGCTTTTTGGCAGGAAGTAGAGATTGACGCTCCAGTGACGGCGAGATGCGACCGAGATGCGACCGAGATGCGACCTGTCAGGATCGCTACTACACTGGATGGGAGGCGTGGCTCCCTGAGCTTTGGAAAGTCATGGGCTTGCCCCAAATGCCGCTGTCCCAGGCCAGGCCCTGTCGCCACTTCTCATAGATGAGACGTGTCTTAGTGGTCGCGGTTTCCTGCGACTCTTGGTCCCTTGACGAAAAGTTCGACTCGGGTTTGTTCAGGAGGCTCCAGCACCTTGCTACCGCGTGGATGTGAGTAGGGGATCCTCAGATTCTGGGTGGACTTGACTGACCTGACGTTGACTTGTCATTCCCTGGTCGACTGACATTCTGCTCATTGCTGAATCTCAGGCGGCGGAAAGCCCCCGAGTGACGATGACATTGTCCCGCCTGGCGCTTCCAAGCTGACGCTTTTGCACAACTCTCTTCTGGTGCCGGAGAAGTATGACCGTGATATTCGGCACTATGAGTTCAAGCACCTCACCGTCAAGGGACCCGCAAACCTCTAGTTTTGGCAAACGGGTTGGATCAGAACTGGATCAGCATGTGCCTTTGGGCTTGAGTCTTAGTATTTCTCAAGCTAGCTTCCTCAAGAGCCAGCAAGCAAGGGTTTGTAGCCTTTTCATGCCTTTCTGGGATGTTCAAAAGACCAATCATGAAAGACTTATCGTCACCGTTCTGCAAAAAGGGACCGTCACAGTTCTGAGGATCGAAGGCACCAACGTGACCTATAAGACGGGCGATAGTCTGGCAGTGTGGCCACGAAACCCCTTCGACAAAGTAGAGGCGAATCTGACACTTTGGAGATCTCAACTGCCTTGAACTGAATTAATTTGGAGACCTTAAATTAAAGAGCAGGAAGAGGGAAAGGCAAAGAAACGACTGGACGACAAGACTGTTGGTGCCTCATTTGCCTTTCCGTTTGCCAGGAATTTTGCAAAGAGATGGGCTTTGACTCCACACAAACTCTTCGTGTCCTGCCCACGGAAGGCGGCGACTAGTGAAGGGTGTATCAATAATCTACAGCATGCAGCTTCTCCTGCTTCTAGACCAAGATATGAAACATGATGATCATGATGTGATTCTAGCAATGGCTAGATCATGTTTCTGAGGTGTTCCTACGCAACTTTCTCAAATGACAGTTGTCAGCCAGTCACTGCCAGGTGCGAGGAATTGGTGTCCACAAGAGCTGTCTGTGCGACAGCTTTTCAGCCACGTGTTGGACATTTTTGGAAAGCCGAATCGAAAATTCTTCGAGACCCTCTCCTTCTTTGCCAAGGCCCAAGCCATTTTCAGTTTTGAACTTCCATTCAGCCTCCGCGAAATCCAGCTTTGGGCAGGATGAGGCGGACAAGAAAGCGCTGCAGAACGTCGTGGAGAACAATGCCGAGGGCCAGGCGTTGTACAGAGATCTGACCCACGACTTTGCACATCACGCTGATGTATTCAAGAGGTGGGACTGTTGTTAAGAGGTGTTTCCTACTGGTGCTAAGCAACTTATTGCTGAAAAGAGCTTTGCTGTGTTTTGATAAGTCATCCTCTCAGTTTTTACTATTAGTGGCTAGGTTTTTGGGCTCGCTCGTCAGGTTCAAGAGCGCTCGACCTCCCATTGAGCAGCTGCTCAACATGATCCCAGTCTTGAAGCCCCGAAGTTTCTCGATGAAAAGCAGCATTTGCCAAGGAAGAAGCGACGGACGGTGAAGGAATCTTCCGCAGTGTTTTGCTTATTCTTTATTAAAGGGACTGTGCATAAAGCACTGGGCTCTCTTGATTCTGAGGCTACTCCATTGCCAGCAGCCCTTTGATGCACCCAGACAAGATCCAGCTGTGTGTGGTGCTTGTCGATTGGACTGTGGAGAGCACCAAAGAGCTGCGACTAGGCGAAGCCACAGGCGCAAAGCTGGCAGTGGGGCGGATATGAGTTTTTCTTGTGTCACTTTGCTGGGGTTGCACGGTTGGATTTCTCGCAGGCTACATGCGTCAGCAGAAGCCTGGCACCACCATGATGTGCGCTGTGCGCCAAAGTGCTATCGTGCTTCCCAAGGAAGAATCGACACACTTGTTACAGCTGAGTTGAACGTTTGGACCGACCAGTTTCATCCGACATCCGACCCATCCACTCCAGGACCCTGTGAAGCCCGTTATCATGGCTGGTATGGGAACTGGACTTGCGCCCTGGAGAGCTGTCACCCAGGCTGGGGGCAACCAACAGTTCACCTGTCCACGGGGGAAGCTCGTGGCACTGAAGAATCCTTTTTGCCACAGTGAGTCAGCAGGAAAGCAAAACAGCAAGGTAACTAGTGACATGTGAAGTGAGTCGACCTTTTTCCAGGAGCGAATCTGCCAGCATCGACAAGGTAACAAGGTTGGACCATGCCATCTCTTCTTCGGTGCACGCTACAATGCGGAGCCTGGGATGGTTTCATAGTGACATGACGATCACTGATGATCACTGGTACCGAAAACGTGCGAAACCTTGTGGAAAGCTTTTCCGAGATGGGTCCATGATCCAGGAATACCTGTATCGCGACGAGTTCGAGGGCTATGTCAAGGAGGGTGTGCTGTCAATGCACACAGCCTTCTCCCGTGAACAGGCTTCTCAGCTCGCATGCATTATGCCTTCTCAGTTCAATAGCTTGCTTGGCCAAGGCCCGCAAGATCTACGTGCAGCATAAGATTGTAGAGGCGCATTTGCTGAACTTTATAACCATAAGATTGAACTAAACAAGCTTCCCGACAAAGGGGTCAAGAATGTCCACCTTTTTCCTGTGAACTGTAAACCTCTTGTTTTGTGTGAGGACACAGGATGTTCGGTCATTCATCAGCCAGTTGTGCTTGGTCACTCCTTGTACTCGTATCAGGCCGGCAAGGAAGTGCACGAGTGCATGCTGAAGCAGGAGGGCCACTTCTACGTTTGCGGCTCTGCAAGGCAAGTGCCTGAGGACATCTACACCGCAATGAAGGAGGCATTCGGGTGCTGATTGGAACCCCTTCTGTTTTTCTTCTCATTGTCATTTCCACCAAGTTGACAAGAGCTGTACTGCTGGTGGAGATTTATTTGGGGTGGTTTTGTTTAGAAGAGATTCCTTTTGTGTTCTGGAGGTGATGATGGCCAATGAGAAGGTGAATGAGGACGAGGCAGAGGCCATCTTGTCGAACCTGAAGATGGAGGGTCGTCCGAACCCAAGGGGATAGGTTGCGACGTTTTGTTCTTTACAAAGAACCAGAAAGAGAACGTTTGTGCTGAGCTGGGATCAGAATTTCAACAGGAATTGAACCTCGCTAGCTGAGGCTACACAGTGGAAGCTTGGTCATGAGGCATCTGAGGCGTGCACCGTAGCTGTGTTCCAAAATTTAGCTCGTTCCAGATTTGGAGTGCATCAAAATGCCTCATAGGCATTCAAAGGCCAGTTTCCAAGGCTCGTTAAACCTTTCTTCTTTGCGTTCTTTTTGAAGCGAGGCAATCCAAGTCTTGGCGGTGCAAAAAGACCGCCCCAATTGCTTTTAGCTCCGCTCTGCCAAGTGACTTCCTACTTGCGTATTGGCTTTCGCTTTGTCTCCTGGGTCATGCGGTCACAATACCAAAGACATAGGCAATTCTAGATGCTGGTTACTGCTGACTGACGGTGGACAAGTACGTTGGTTCGATGAAGAACGAGTCCATGCCACAAGCCAAGAATGGTAAATCATACGAGAGTATGAGAAGCACTGTGCTGCGTGCATGCTAGCAAAGTGAGGAGATACGTTCAACAAAGATTCATGTAAACCAACGCGCACACACACATACATCCATGCATTGGGTTGTACCAGTGGTTTTGAGTTTGGGCTATGTCATCAAACACCCTGAGTTCACGGCCACTTTTTTGCTTGCGCAGTCCATTTGCAGATATCCATTTGGTCAAGGCAACAGCTCAACATCGTGCCTTGTGGCTTCAGACCGGACTCCTTTCACACTCACAGCACTTCAAGCCGAATGAATCAGGCGTCGTGCCTCCCAAACCTTCACACATCTCCTGCTTGGTGTGCCAGGGAAGGCCTCCAGGAAGACTGGCCATGTTTAGAGAAGAGCTTGATAAGAGGTCCACGGGAGGCCAAGCAAAACTTGGTTGTGACCACTTCAACTTTGTACCCAAGTGAGATTCACTGGCAGTGCGTGCGCTTCCTCCCCTGCAACAGAGGGGCTGCTAGGACCCCCTTTGATGCCGGTGGCTGATCAGAGAGATGGCTCTGATGTGGCCAATCAGTTTCTAGAACAGGGCAAGCGCCCGGGCGCTGATGTTATCTTGCAGAGATACGATCAGATAGGGGGCTTTGCCAGGCTGCATGTCTGAAAAGCCTCTCTTGTGTCAAATGTAATCGTGGAATCAAGGGGCTAGATGTGCTAGCATTGGAAAGATGGAGTGATTTGAGAGGGGGAGACAGCATGCTGGCCCGTGCTGACGGCACAAATTCAGGGCTCAAAAGCTCAACAACAAGAAGGGTGCTCAAGCTTTGCAAAGTTGGTTGAGCCAAAAGAGATGTTTTCTGGATTGTTGGTCGAATCACAACTAGTGCCATTTAGCGTGTTGGGATCCTTTTGCAAATCTCCACAAGGCGTTTTGACGTTCCGCACTGGCTGTTTTGTGCCGTCGCACCAGAACCCAAGAGGATTGACACCTCGCACTTTGCTCTTCCAGCAGGTGCATTTAAGACCTTTAATTTTGAGCCTTTGAGGCTTTGGTGAGGATCAATGCTCACACATCGCGGTCAAATGGTGAAATGGATGTGCAACCCACCTGTGACTGCCTGACTGGGTGTGTGTTATCTTTTTTAATGTGAGCAAGTTGTTGCGGTTGCAGCACTTCCGCAAGCCTGCTTGGCCTCCACGTGCAGACTCTTGAGCCTCGGCCCCGCTTGGCCCAACTGGGCTTTCTGGTTTCAGCTTGTGGGCGCTCGTTTGTGACATCCGCGTTGACCAGCTGGACGGGTGGCTCAGGGCGAGTCGAAATCGGAGTCATTTTGTTCATCTCGTGTACTGGATTCCAGTCTCAACAGATATATATATATATTAAACAGTGCAAGAGGATTGATCTTTTGTCGATTTGAGGATCTACTGACTGAACATGCCGGCTGTCAAGAGCTAAGGAAACGGAGCAGACTCGAGGGTTTCATGGACGTGTATAAGATGCTTAGGGTTTGCACAGAAAGCAATCAATCTATCTATCATATGCTGTCATGACTGGCTTGGGAAAAAACTTTGATCTTTCAGATCATCAGATGTGGTGTTTTCTTCGCAGTAAGGCAGTCCTGTCCTCAGGTTTTGGCTGGCGGCGGAGCTGTGGTTGGTGGCGGAGCTGTGGTTGGTGGCGGAGCTGTGGGTGGCGGCGGAGCTGTGGGTGGCGGCGGCGGCTTCGGCCTAGGCGAGAGCAGGATGGAGACAAGATTTGTATCACACATTTATTTGCACATATTTACACAACAATTTGTGGCCATCGTTCAAGGTGCTGGTGGACAGTTTCTTCTCCAACTTTTCACAATCGTGTTTGCACTGTGACATCTCTTTCCAGATCGCTTTATGTATCCATCCAGTTTGCTTGAGCCCGTCGATCTGGCTACACTTCAATTGCCTTGAAGTTCTTTTGATTCGCATCACGACATCACTCTCCAGGCGACTACCTTTTCGGCTCCCTGCCCTGAAATAGCTTGCATGGACAGGGCTTGCAGTGGTTTATTCTGCAACTGAGGTAGGTCGGAGGGTGAATCCCAAATCCAAGGCCCAACTATCTTTGGAGGCTTTGCAATCCCACAAACTTCGGAAGTGTTTCCATACAGCGAGGGTTCTTCCTTAAAGAGTCTTTTTTTGAGTTCCTTGAGGCCCGTTCAAGAATCTGCAAGAAAGTAAATGACAGTTCTGTTCATTAGAATTCTTCCAAGAATGTTTGTCAGTGCGAAGCTCAGGACTTTTCTATCAGAAGTACCAGGATGGTGTCAATGAGTCAATCACCTACACTGGTCCTGGCTGGGCGGCTCAGAGCGCGGTCGAGCAGTTTCCAGCGGTGAGTCTGTTTGAGTGTTCCAACATGCGGTGAGCCTGTGCGTGGAACCCGCGCGCGTCGCTGTGCAGCCCGACATTGATTCGTCGAAAGATTCGTTGGAAGCTCTCGTTTTTTAGTTATCTCTCGATATGACACAATGTCTTTGTTCTTGCTTATTTTTTTTGATTCTTTTTTGTGTACTGTACTTTTTGCACCTTCCAGAATTAACATCAAATTGAGAGGGTTTTGTTTTTGTCTTTGTTTTTTGTAAGCAGCTATCTGGTTGCCATGTCAGCATAAGAATATGTTTTGTCTTTGTGCCAATTTGAGGTCCTTTTAAAGCTCTTCGATTGCTTTTCATTTTCACCTTCGGGAAGATGTTGGTTTGACATGGGGTAACAACAACCGCCAATATGGTGAAAACATGACACCCTCGAACTATCTACTTCAACAAAGGGATGGCTCAAGAAGATGGTCGGCCTGGGCACAGTTTCGTCCAATTTTTCTCCACCTACTATTTTTTTTCCTGTACAGACCGATGGTACCGATTCAAGACAAGCGCAGCGGCGCAGCGTGAACTGTGGGGCCCGGTGTGTAGTGGACGTGCCCGTCCACTCGCAGCAGGTCTGGGCCACATTGAGAGCCGTCTTGTTGAAGTTAACCCAGGCGAGAGGAGTTCAGTTAGAAACCAATCGGGCCTCGATCGGGAGTCCATCAAGGCGTTTCCTTTTTGATGCGGCTTCCTAGGCAGTTCACCCATTTTTCTGGAATTGTTATGTCTCAAATATCAGTGGTGTGCCTTTGAAGAAGTGGAGCTTGAACAAATTCAACCTCTGTCGGTGTGCTTGGTCCAGCTCCTCTGGATTTTAGCTGAAAGACGTTAAGCAATGGAATGCTTTGTAGCCCCTCCTGTGTTGGAAATCACGACAAGTGCCGGAGCAAGCAACAACGTCTCTTGCGCACTGGAGTTAAGTCATGCCTATCGCATTATTGCATTCTAACACCAAAAAGTGTGAGCAAAATTGAGGTTAACAGGAACTCCATGTGAGTGAAACGAGCTCTCCACAAACGATGTGTCCACACGGCACCAACAGTCTATCCTGATGGATGAAATGCAGCTGAGTGGCCGGTGTAGCCACTTGCTACACGCCAACGTCGCAGGCCAAGGAAGTTACGCCAAGGCTAAGACGCCCACCTATGGTTACAGGCAGTGAAAACGACCATCTTGTGATTTCAGATCTGCCAACTTGTTTGTCCTAGATCTTTCATGTCCTTCTGAAAATCATGCATTTATTTGCTTCTTTTCAGAGTTCCACGACTTGCAGCGGACATGTACGGAACAGGTGAAGCAAACCAAGCACGTTCAGCTCCATTAAACCCTGATTGGGAGAGTCCCCCGTTCCAGTTTGCCAGAGTTTGCAGGCCTCGATATTGTGTGATTGGTTGTGGAGCCGCCCTTTGTAGCTGGGTTGCACATAATTTGCAGCATTGACATTAGAAGGAGCCAGAAGTTGCTGGCATGCTTGGAGCATGTGCAGTTTGAATATGCTTGGAGCATGTGCATGAATTCCATGGTACTGTTGGGATGAGTGGAGCTCCTTGATCCGAGGCATTTTGATCATCCTCCTCCCGTTTCTAGCCTTGTGCCAGGCTGCGTCAAGCCAGGATTTGTGCAGGTAAAGCATGGTGAAACTAAGCCAAGCAGAAACGCATTTGAGTGTTGGTTGCGGCAGTAGTTGCACAGTGTTGATTCTTGTTGTAAAGGCAGGCCAGGGAGATTCATAGACTTTTTGTGGAATCTTAGCTATTGAGATCTTAACGATGTGACACAAGTCCGAAACAAGGCTTGTTTTGACCAGTAGCTTTCAACTCTTGGGCCAATCTATCTCATCCCAAGCATGGACGCATCGAGTGCTTTGCAGACTTTTTCGGAGCTTCGAGGTACGAAGTTGGTTTACTGGCGAGACCTGTGGCATGCGGCAAGATCCATGCGAAAGCAGCTTGGTCACAGCAACGCTCAGAAAACTGTGTACTTTTGAGATCGTTTGAGTCCGTGAATCCCTTCTTGAACACCTGGCATTCTCAATCGAATCGCTGCTCTTGAAGAACATGTAGAATGTAGACCAGAGAGAGTTAGGGTTTGGAAGGTGGGGAATGTTCCGCCACAAGGGCTCAAGAAAGCTCGAGTCGGTCTCCTTAACACAAAGTTCACACATTTGTCATGCCCCCAAAAATGGCAGGTAGAAGTTGCAATTTGAATATCATCATTATGTGACGTGGCTCCATTGCGTGCTCGACCTGTTCAGGCCGATGCACTGTATTATCAGTAGGAAACTGAGAGAGTCAAGTGGGAGAAGAGTGGTGAGTGCCGTGCAAATGCACTTTCAAAAAAACTCAAAAGAACATATTTGACCAGCACCAGCAAGTGGCAATCAAGACACATGCTCACAATTCAATGACTTGACTTGTTTCCATCATGAATCACACTGAATGCTGCAAATCGTGAAGCTTTCTTTCTCAGAAGCTGGATTGATTTGGGTGTTGAAAGTGCTTCCTAAGGTCGGTCAGACACAGATCAATGACCCATTCTGCTGTAGTTGCCCTCAAGGAGCTACATTCGATATTTGCAAACAGGTGCATGGGCACAGGGGCCTTTTAAGGCACTTTTATGGTGCATGCTCTAACAGCATTGCATACCCAATCCCTGTTTGATTGCAATTATTGGGCGACACGATAACATCTAGACTCATCTAGACTACCGACGACAAGAGCTGCTTGTGCAACTGAAGCAAGGTCTAGCCCTTCCCTTTCTCCCTACACAGCGACAGTCTACTCAGACATAGCCCAGCAGCATGCCACTCTTGTGCAATGTATAGAATATTTTTTGTTGAAGAACAGGTTTCCTGAAAAATCTAACAAATCAATACTGCGAGCGCTTCTTCAAGGAAGCTCCCTCCCGCCCTCAGGCGGCGGGAGTTTCCTTTAAGAAGAGTGAGCTATTCTGCGTCCAGTTATTGGGAGCTGACAGCCTGGTAGCTTGCTGAAAAAAAAAGTCGACACGTGCAGGCTCCACAAGTTCATGATGTGGTTCATCGCCACTATGGCACTGTCTACAGGACCTCTCCATTTCTTTTAAGAGTGGTTGTGGTCGTCGTGGTGGTCGTGGTGGTAGTGGTAGTGGTGGTGGGTGGTGCGTGGCGCGTGATCGTGGGGTGCAGAAAGTTCGTGGCCACAACCGCGATTTGGATCAAACATGTTGCTGACCTCACACCAGAGTTCTAGACAGTCCGAGTATGAAAATAGTGAAAGATGAGGAGACCCTGAGAACACGAGTCACTTGACAAGACATTTTCTTTGGATTAATTGAATAGTCCCTGCGCTCTTGTTCAGCGGGAGACAGAGACAGACAGACAGACAGACAGACAGACAGACAGA